TGCCTGGCTGAGCAGATGAAGCATCCAATGTGCCATCCCCCCGGGTTCCTCCTAAGCCATTGCTTATTAAAACATACCACGACGTCCCCGTGGTTTGCCTTGGTTTGCACTCGGAAAAACATTCACATTCCATAAGCTGTGTTTATATATTCTTTGCAACCATATTAATTATAACACTGTGTGTGTGGCGGCAGAGACCAGGCAGAGCTGTTCCCTATGAACGCTTAATGGAAAGCTATCGAGCATGGCTTAGACCTTATATATCACTTTCATAAGGTAAGTTAGTTTTTCTTTAGAAATCAATGGAAAGTCATACAATTAAAAATGAGTTGCTCCTTTATTAATTATCGTTTTCAAACCATTGGCTTTACAATAGACCTACAAAAGTTTTGCTTTTGGAAATATTAGATGTTTTTTAATATTTGTTAGTATTTCACTTATTCTACATTTATCTCTTTTTTTCAATTTTAAAGGCTTTTTAATAATAGAGCAATGAAAAGGGCTCAACAAAATAAACTAAATTAGTGGAGGAGCGTAATTTTCGACTGAAATTGATTCATCCTTCCACCTTATTAAACGTTTTAAAAATCTTACTTTGATAGAACGATATTATAACTTCAAGTACCCATTTGTTCAACTTCTTATCCGGTCCACTTAAAAGTGCAACATAATTTTCCTCGGTGTGGGATTACCTTCTCCAGAGAAAGAAGTTGATTTTGATTGCCGCTTGGACAACGCGTCGTATGATTGTTTTTAGCTCGACTGAAGAAGGGCGAGTCCGGCAGAGCCAAATTGATTTGTGCACGTGCACGGTTAGCTAATGAGGCACGGACGAACCCAAAGCTCCGCCGGATGGCATTCGGAAATGCTTTGGAACGGTCGCCGACACTCTGCATTTTTCTCGGACCCATTCTCCGGTTGCAGCTGACAGGTTGCTGGTTTGGAAGGGGTTCCGGCCAGGAGGTTGGCAGGATGTGTACATGCTGGACAGCTGCCTGTTCAGGGCGGTTGCCATGTTCACTTAATTAACAACATTACGGCATTAACACACACACACCTCGTACTTCGTAGATACATGTGCTGTGAAAGTTGCATTAAAGTTTTATAATAAATCTAATGGTCAACAAGGACAAAACTGTAATTTTGTTTGTTGGCTCGTTTGACAGGCGGAAGGGCGGAAGGGCGGAAGGCGGGTATTGGGGGCGTGTCCCGGCCCGCCTTTTGTCTTTGCCATGGATGACACATCCTCTAATGGTGCATTCGTGCATATGAAATGGCTGTCAACAAAGGGCAGAGGACTTCCTGCAACCGCAGGATGTGCTGCCCTAATGGGTTTGCTTGGCCTTAGTTATGGCAATCACGAGGTGACACATTTACTCGCCCTCTGACCCCAGACCCCTGACCCCCGAAACCCCTGAACCCCAGAGCCATAGCCTTAAAGTGCTTGGGGAAATCAATGGCAAATCGAAATGTGAAAATGAAACGAAAAAAGTGCCGCCAAAGCGATTGATAAGCGCCCTGGCAGACAGGCGGCCCCCAAGGCCACCCACCTGGCAATCGGTGGGTGGTGGGCAACTGCCAAAGGGGCGTGTTTGATTACGCACCTGGGACCTTTCAAATTGCACACGAATGTGTGCCAGCACATCAAATCAATGTGTCTGTTGACAGTTTTAATTTTCCCAAGTTAAATGCAGGTGCAAATTGATGAAAGGTTTAGGGAAAATATTTAACGAGAAAGCTAGCGACATTAATGATGATGATATATTATTCCAAATGCAAGTCCATCCTTAGTTATTTTTTTAGCTATGTGAAAGATTAAAGGAAAATATTGAACGGAAAACATACTAATAAATATGATACATAATTCAATTGATTGCCTTGACATCAGAGAAACAGTAATGTAACACAAATATACACCTATGTAATATATAAGTTTAAAATTAAAGCAAGACAAACAAGACCAACAGAAGAAGAAAATCTAAATTTTTAAAAGACTAAAAATGCAATTGGTTATATAATAATCATATCTTTCATCAAACTGAGAACCTGAACTTCTTTTATTTGCATTTCGCATTGATTTAAATGCAATAAAATTGGCTAAAGAAAATCTTTTTCTGGAATATTAGAATATTCGAAGCATATTCAGTACCTCGCTTTGGTGGTCAACAGAATGAAACCCATTTAAAAGGAATATTTCATGGTAAATGTGTGAAACCCGACCAACCAAGCCGGCCTCTCCCAATAGATTTGGACCGCAGGAGGCGGCTGGAGAGGAGAGATTTGCAAATTGGCCAAGATTTATAGTGTTAGCCACAGCGGTTGGATCGCAGGCGCACCTCTGTGCGTGCTGGTGAAAAGTTTTCCCAGCTCGTTGGGAGATGGAAATTAACGCAGGGACAGCCGGAGCAGCTGAGCCGAAACCAAAACAGGACCTGTCTGGCCCCAGTCTGTTTGGGTCTTTTATTTCGGGGGGCTTTTGGGCCAAGTGGCCTGGCACCTGGCTAAAATGAACAGGGGGAAATGGCACACCCGCATAGACGGCTGCCGACTAATCTGTTAATTTATGTTGAAAAGTTCAAGGAAGTTTTCAAGCGCTTAGCAAACAAATTGCAATAAATTATTAAGAATATTTGCCCATCAGAAGGGGGGGGACGTTTAAGGACGAGGGGCGCCACAGTTTTTGTGCATTTCATTAATTTATGTTTCGTTGCCTGCCAAAAACTTCTCGCCACTTGTGTGGATAATTTGATTTCTCCGTAGAGAAACTTTGCCCAGCCAGGAGGCGAGATTCACACGCAAAGATAAACACGAGGTGGTGCCGGTGTCCTGGGTCCTTTGTCCCCTGTCTCGTATCCAGTAACCTGTATACTTAATCCTGAATCTGGAATCCCGAATCTGGGGGGCCCCTATCCCTGCACCCCCTATCCCGTCGAGGGTCGAAAGTGGCCAACGAAAAGTTAAAATGTTCTTATGCATAAGTGATGTCCTGGCGCCTCGTCCTTTTCCGCCTTTCAACTGGCGACAAAGTCCTCACGAAGTGCCCGCATTGCAGTTGTTTCCTCTTTGGTCCGTTTCACTTGGCTGCGACATGAAAACTTAATGTCGTAATTAACTGTTGGCGTTTGAGCTTTAAGATGGCCAGTCGCGTATACGCCCCGTATGCTCTTGAATCGCGCATACGCCCCTTAAGCCGAGATTTAAACGCATCGCGTGACCCACTTCCAGGCTGCAACTTTCAATGCCAACGTGTCACTTTATCAGGCTTACAATCGGGCAAATGGTGTGACACGAATTTCCGGCCCCGCAGGCAAAACAAAGCAAATAGTGCAAAACAAGGCTGACTGGCATTTCTGCACGGTTACCAAAAAAACCGGAAATGGCTGTAAAAACATCATAGCTCGAACTTGCCACCCGAAACGAATTAACTTTGATGACTTGGCGGAAAGGGCAAAAGGCAGTTACCTGGCGCGATTCCATTTCCGCCGCTTAACGTCATTAAAAGTGCTGAAAATTGAAATTGAAATTTTGGGTGAGCCCAAACTAAGCTGCCGAAAATAGAAGCAATATCCTTACGGATGCCCGGATGCGCCAATTCCTCGATTGGCTGGCTGTGAAATAAGATTGTCAACTGCAATTAGCGAGCTTAATGCATCTTTCGGATGCCAACTGACAGGCAGACAGCGTGTCCTTCTCGCCTGTCAATCTGCTAGATGCTTACCTTGCCCACTTGCCTGCCAAGCTGCCATCAGGCCATCACGGCACGCATCCTGAAGGACCAAGGACTGTGGCACTCAGACATGCATTCGCTGCTCGGCACTACTTGCAGTGGTTGCAAGTAGTGGCCCCTCCAAGTTGCACATTTAAAGACTGCGGCGACTCGAGTGCCCTTCTCCGTCGGCTGATGGCCCTCACCCAACGCACCACCTGCACAGCCAACCACACTTGGCTAAATGGGCCATAGAAGGCGGTTGCGAGCTGCTTTGCTCGACTGCAAATTAAATAAACCCCGAAGATTATAAACTTATGCCCAAAGTGCGGGCCGGGAATGAAAACTTCCGCCACAAATCCTCAGAAATTATTTCACTCATTTTTCACATTTACTCATGGAGATTAAATAGCCGCTTTGGCTGAAAATCAGACGAACTTTTAGGTGTATTTAAAGGCTTGAAGTGAGAGTAACATCTCGCCACATTCACAAGTTGCAGAAATCGATTTGTGGATACGTTTTGGATACAACTTAAATCAAACTAAAATTCTTTAACTCAGTTTTATTTGAGTGTTTACCATAATCAGGCTATTTTCGGTGTACAAAGAACTGATAACATTAATATATCTATTACATTTTTTATTTTTAGCAATTAAAATGGTTAACATTTAAATATTAGTTCAAACCATCCAAAACTGTGTGTTAATATTCCATTCACCTCATCATTATGATATCCCTTTCAAATGGATTTTAGTAATTCAAAATTAATTTAACTACAACATTATAATGGCTTTTATTCAGCTTCAGTCGGAGATTTGTAACAACTATTAAGAACTATTTATAGTAAGTCTAATTTTTGGGCAGTATTCACTTGGCCTGGCAGCACTTGGCTCCCGTCTTGGCGGCGCATTGGCATTGGCTGTTTCCGGGGCAGTTTCCTCCGCACTTTCCGGCTGAGCACTGGCAGTCTAAAGGTAGGAGGATTTTTCATTAGTATTGCCTTTTAATAGATCGATTTCCTTCAATTGGGAGGACTGGTACTTACTGTTTCCGCATCCCTTGCAAGGCATCTTGTTGGTTTTTTGGTTGGTTGGCTGTAGTAATTACCGAAACTTTGAAGTTTTGAGACTTTGTGATGCCTTCTGTTGGAAAAACTCAGCTCTTTATACCCTATCCAGACCCATCGAAACTATGGGCCGTGCTGGCTGATAAGATAAGAAAGCCGTGTGCAGTTGCGCTCGTTCGTCGTGCGCAAAAACATTATGATTTTTCATACCCAAGTGATAAGGCAGCTTTGCGCACGAACTGATAAGAATATTAATCATTTGGTGGTGTGCAAAGCACTGGGGTAACTATAAGAAGGCTGGACCTCACAGCTGGTAATCATCAAACAGTTTTTGCTAACAGCAAAGTCAATCGAGTTTATATCTCTTCAAAGAAAATATATTAAAATACAACATGGGTTGCAAGGCTTGTGGAACAAGTGAGTATACAAATATTTAGGTTTCTATAAAATAATATGCTTATTAATATTCTGTTTAATCCCCAGACTGCCAGTGCTCGTCCTCCAAATGCGGTGACAACTGCGCCTGCAGTCAGCAGTGTCAGTGCTCCTGCAAGAACGGACCCAAGGATAAATGCTGCTCCTCTAAAAACTAAATACATATACAAATCCCCTTGAAACTCCTCTGGCCTTTTGTGATATACAACCTCTTATGAAATCAAAATAAATCAACAATCATTGTAGCAATTTAATGTTTAAAATCAAATCTTTATTGGCCATTTTGACAAGAATAGTTCTTTAGTTATTTCCCACTTTAGTTTTAGAAATTGCACACCCAATTAGCGTTTGAAATTACATTTAAAACACTTACACAATGTACACAATTAATTCAAGTACACAGTGAGTACTGGACGTTCAAATAGTATCCAAATATCAACATTGTTTTTGGCGAGCTTTTCTCATGTGTATCTGTGTTGTGCGGATGTTGTGTGTATTAAACATTAAAAACTTTACGTACACAATATTACATTTTGTTTCGCAATTTGTGAGTACACAAGAGGAAATCCGCTTCCATTCACATTCAAGTGTTTCAATTGTTTACTGAATTGTTTATTTATTTGGGGGTGTTGTACTTAAGTCTTATAAAATTCTTAAGGTTCACGTACAAAGCTAAGTGTAGTGTTGTGTTATTGTTGCTGCTTACATAAATGATTATGTTTACGATCTCTCATACAAACGTGTGTCTCTGATAACTGACTAAAAAGGCAATAGCATTTGGCGCATTTGAAATGCATTGCAAACTCTGCCCTGATGACTCAAACAAACAAGTTTTAAAAAAAATATACATGGATTCGTTAAATTTTAGCGCATTTTCAGCATTGGAAGCCAATAAAGGATGGGTTATAAAGCAATTCACAATGTTACTTAGATTATAACTAAAATAAACGCAATCATCTCCTGCGTTGCTGCTCTCGTTGATTGGTTTTCATCTTTCGTTTAGCATAGGCTTAGCACGCGAAGTATTTTGTATTTCAAATTGTTAAAATTAGGCGATTAAAATTAAAATCAAAATCATAAATTTAGATTCAACAAATAGTTACTCACTAACTAAACCGATTCTCATATCATCATTATCAATTAAACGTAATGCTTTGTCACAGACGAACACGTCGTAGTACAAAAAAAGAAATCAAATATATATAGGTATATATAAAAATATAAAACGAATAACATGCGGACACATTCCAAAGGTTTATACAACACAGAAATTCTAAATTCTGCATGGGTCAGACACAATCATAATCACGATAAAGACAGTATTCTGTATTCTGGCTGTGTGTGCTGTAGGTGTTTGTGTTGAGGTGTCGCAATTTGCATGCATTGCTCTGGTAGATCTTATTGTTGTTTTGATGTTGTTTCTGTGGTTTGGCGTTTCACAAAAAGCTGCAAGGATAAAGGTAAAAGTTCACTTTAAAATTGATCAAATAAAATCCTACGAAAATAGTTAGTTCTTAGTAGAAGGTAATAGGTACACGAGTAACATTTAAAATCTGCAGCTAACTTGGTTTTCAAAAATAGTTTCACCACCTGCGACGAGAAAGCGCTTGTGTCCATATATATGTGTATATAAATATATTGATAATCTGCATGTAAATTCGTAATTTCGTTTCATTCCCTGTGCAGAGTACAACTCTTCTAGCTAGTCCTTAACAGCTATCGGATCCTTGACCATTGAAACCAGCTTACTTCCGTGCCGGAGTTCCTATCCTTTCTCAAAATTCCTTTTGTATAACGTACGTAAATAGCGTAAAACAACAATTAACGTTTAAAATACGTTTAACAATTAACTGAACAATTATGAACATTTAATACGTAGCTTAGTAAACCTCTTCGTTACAATATGATATTTTCTCTACATATAACATTTAACTACAACTCATTTCTTTCGTTTCTTTCGAAGTGCAAAAAGAGATTAGTGTGTTTTAGTGTAACAACAATATCAAGAGATGAAATACGTACCAAAACAAAACCTTCCACTACGATGCATTCGCAAATCTAATAATTACATCTAGATAACATTAAATAAAACTTTCGAATAGCACAATGAATCAGGCGCCACATCGTTGCAATCGTTGTGGTGGCGTACACATCATCGTCGGACTTCCAAGATAGCGGTGGCTATCTGATATCGTTTATACATAGGCTTCTCTAGTTGCTATAGTTAGTTTCAAAAGTTCTCAAAGTTCGTCATCGAATCGAAGTCCGCCATTCCAAAGTCACCACTAAAAGAGGGGTCAAACGAATTGGTGTACAAAAAATTAGAAAAGAAAATCATTAATAAATAATAATAAACCCGGATTAAATAAATCGAAGTCATGCGGGCGGGCTCAGGGAAAAGGTGGGGATAATGCTTTAGATGTAGGGCATTTAAGAATGGAATGACAGAAGTGCGGCGCCAAGTGAAAATTTGAGTATTTCGAAAATTTAGCCAGTCCCTAACAATTAAGAGAGACCGGTTCCCTTAACATTAAATATAATAACAATCACATTGAATTGAATTTAAAATCGTAATACGAAATTACAACAGCAACGAACATGCAAATAATCAAACATTAACCCTCAAAAAGGGCATGCAGGAATATTTTAAATCTAGTGTATCAATAAGATTCAAAGATTTGCCAAATAGATTAGCTTCTTTTCTTTTTTGTTAATCTGAAACTTCCTAAATCGGTTGCTCGCTTAACTCAGATTGGTTTAGACCAGATTTACAGGTGCATGATGGTGCTATTCTGCAAGCTGCGTTCAAAGCGAAATATATAGAAGAGGGTAAAGAAAAGCGGTTAGAGGATATCATTTTAAATTTTGAAAAGTTTCTTGACTTTGGTTTCTTACAGTACTCATCGCGTTGAAGCTGAAAAGTTTAAAAAGATGGCAATACTTTGAACACAAAGAGAACAATAAAATGTACTCGCTTAACGAAAACAATTGGTTAAGTCACTTAGAACTAGATTGCGAACTATCAATAAAGTTAGTCATTTCCTTGGAGAGCCCATCTGAAATTCATGAAACAGGGTTGACCATTGGCATGTGCTGCTGATGAGGCGATGCAATGGAATGAGCATGAAGTGACCATCGGCTGTTCAGTTGGGGCAGTTAAGGAGATGGTGGTCAGGACAGATCGATCGGATGAGAGCGCATTTGGGGGCGTGAGTGAATGCGGACGAACAGCTCGGGAATTATCATCAAGCAATCGGGTTGCAGTGATTTGGGTTGAGTGATTTGAATGCGAGTCTTAACTAAAATGTTATACCTTTCGGTAAGTGCCACAATCAACTAGCGACCAATACCCAGCCATCAGTTGTGGATAGACTGAATAACAAAGCGATGTCACAGCATATGATCAACATTTAAAAAACGTACGGACAGTGAACGCTCTTCATTAGGGTATTACTGATTACACCCAGCAGGGGGTCGTTGGGTGGAGCGGTTGTCACATATTTCTCTAGGGCCTCGGCCGTTTCGCTAGCATCGGAATCTGATTCCTCAGGTGGGGCTGGGCTAAAGTAAGTGCTGGCGCTTTGTGGTGAGAAACTGAACCGTCACCCAAAAATCAATAGCCGCAAAAGGTTGAAAATGAAAATAAACAGAGAGTAGGATGGTTAAGTTTCTGTGTAAGTACAAATAAGTAGAGTAAAGTGACATTGTGAGCTCATCCAGGAGCTCAGACATAGGTGTCCAATTAATTTTATTAGTTTGGTAACAAAAGAGCCTCAATTTTGGGTTAGCCAGGAACAAAAGCATTCGGGTTCGCCTTTTTTGGCCCTCCACAACGTCTTTTTCGAATTCAAAGTATTGCAATCTGATTAAACTTTTTGTCAAAAACAATCATAATCAACGTAAGGTAAAGCAAGAAAGCAGAAACAAATAAGGCGGATCAGGCAAGATGATATAGAGGCTTTATCGATCATCTCGGGCCCAGGATTAGCGCTCTACTCAAGCAAGCCAAGGATAAACTTAGTAGTTAAGAAATAAATTATTGTTTTCTTTTTGCTGTTGGCTGTCGATTTGGTGTCTGAGCTGTGGCGTCGGCATCCAAAACTTACTTTCCCAATTGCATGTTTTCCTGGGCTCCGTGATGATGCGGTGTTCCAACAGTGGATCCATTGTCCCCATTGCTACAAACGTGGACGTGCAATGTGCTCTTCACATAACCGGTGATGGGATCTAAAACGAGGGGTTCGGGTTCTGATTAGGAGTGTTGGACCCTGTTATCTCGAATTCCAACCATACCTTGACGCTTCGAATAGAACTCGCCAAAGGCGACGTCCCTTTTCATGGGGCTCGCGTTGCGATCGCTAGGATGCAGCCAGCACAGCACGTCCAAATCACGAATGCGATCGGCCAGGTTCAGCACCTGGAAGTCACGGGCAGTCCATGGGGCCAGCATGGTGACTTCTCCCAATGGGTTTACGTAAGCGATAGTGACTCCTCCTGCAGGTTCAAGGGAAATGGTACTATTTATTTAACCTTAAATTTAAACCAATGATCTGCACTTACCCAGCTCGCTGTCGGAGAAGCGGAGCAGGAAGGTGCCGATGCCATATACTGAACGCAGCAGATCAGCATGGGCCTTGGCCTTGTTGATGAAGCCCATGATGCAGCCAGCCTTCCACATGCCCAACATGTGATCTTTGGTGAGTTTCATGATGGCGAAGAACCACTCCCAGAAGGTGAAAGACCTGTCAGGCAAGGGCTCCTTGCAGAACTGGTTCCACGTAATGTACTCGGTACGCTCCTCGCGCTGGAGCTTCTCGTCTGTAAACACAATGACAATTATAATTGTTCAGCAACAAAAACTAAAGATCCAACTCACAAAGGAAGTCCAGGTTATCAATAGTCAGGGAGCGCCCAGTGCAGGATCCAAATTTGATGTTTAGTGCGACCGACAACTGGGCCCAGGTAACGCGGTCGGTAATCATGAAGGGATCGCGTACAATCTCCGCAAACGCGTTGTCCCAAGTAATTGTGGCCCAGGATGGGGCTCCTGGTTGCCATGAACGATCACCACAACTGGCAGGGACAGGGTCCACACGCGGATTTGGGAAATCGTTTACTGTGGTGGTGGTGTAAAGAATAGGGCGAACTTCTCATCCATAACGCTTTCGGTGCCCTTCTTCTCTGCCCGCTTTATCTTCTTCAGCTGCATGTTTCGGAAGCTGGCGGAGAACACGTGGTTGTTCTGCTGGTACTCCCATGGTGC